TGTTTCTGCCCCACGTGGAGCTAGGCTTAAATGTGGTCATGCCTAACGTAGAGATGGACGTAGTCATGTACGGGCTCAACGCATGACTAGTTATGAATGCGTCCACACTTAATATAAAGCTAGGTGTATGTGTGTACACTCTAACTTAACTTGGGGTTTAACAACCAACAAGACATAGCTATTTTTTTTTATGAATTTCACAAGTTATTTTTTAAATAAGATTGATTTGAGAAATCATAACCCATTTTCTAATGAATAGATAGCATGGTTCTTTGATGTAATGAATTAAATGAATTTGAATAAATAATTAAAAAATAGATATAAGATGCACCAAACTTGGACACAATGCATAATAATTAACGTTCAGGTGGATTTTATAACAGAGCATAATTTAAAAAAATATAATAAGCAGTCTCTATAAATTCATATAGACCAATCCAAACCTATTTAATTCATGGATACAAATTTTTTAATTAAATTCTGCATTCAATGAACCTTGTTTTTTTTTAATATTTATATGCAATTTAAGGATATCAAATAATTTTCAAATTATATGCCATATATTTAGGGGGTTAAACTCCTTTTTTACTTCTATAAAGTTTAAACATGTTTTCAATCTCTTATTATATAAATATTTTAAAACATACTCATTTTATTGACAATAACTACTTATGATTTAGTTTATTTTAAATAAATTATAGTTTTGGAGAATATTTTTATTTCTTGATAACACTTCTTCAATTTGAGGCTTGTAAGGTAAAAATAAAATAATAATTTCAATTTACTCGATAGATTATAACGCTATACATTAATATATTTTAATTAAAAATGAAAATACAAAATAATTTCTTATAATTTTTAAGACTTTTCAGTTAAAAAAGGAAGAGGGATTAAAAAATTATTTATTTATGGAAAGAAAAGGAGTGGGTCTGCGCACGCCAAGTTTGATTTTTTTGGGCCTAGATGCACGACATAGCTTTAAAATGATTAAAAAAAAGAAGTGATGGATGATGTGAGGCCACGTGACATCTTCTTTTACCACTTTTGATGGCTTACGTTGACTGGAAAATTAGGACACCTGGCTTTAGAAGTTAGACTCATTTTTTAGCTATTTTTTCTTGTTCGGAACTCCTTAAACTCATCCTAAAAATAATAAATAAATAAATAAATAATTCTTTTGTCACCTTACAATGAATTTCAGTTAACTTGAAAAATTAAAATTACAAAATCAAAATCAAATTATTATTAATCCCACCGTTTCCGATTATAAGTTGTTTGGAAAAGTGCTTATGAATATGTTTTAAATAATTTTTTATATTAAAATATATGATAATAATTTTTTTTATTTTTAAAAATTATTTTTAATATCAATACATCAAAATAATTTAAAAATATTAAAATTATATTAATTTTAAATAAATAAAAAATTAAAAAAATTTAAATTATTTTTAAAATATAAAAATAAGTAGAAGTTAATCATTCGACTCGTGAACAATCTGGTGGGACACAGCTGTTCTCACAATATCTTCTCTCTTTTTATATTATTAAAGCAAGGACTAAAATGAACCAGTGAAGAATTCGGATTTTGAACTTCTAGAATGTCTAAAGTATCATACTAGTTTATCTGGTAACTTTCATATTAATTTTTTTACTTTTAACGACTAGGATTGAAGGAACCCATCCAATGGTTCTTATTAATTTCAATAATGGAAAAATCATTTCCCTATGGCTGCACCCACCTTGCCTTTCTTGCATCTTGGTAGCTTCTCAAAAGTTGGTTAATGAAAATATTTTGTAATTAAAGATTTAGATTTGATTTTTATAAAATATATTTATTTTTTTTGGGTGAAAACATCTTCAAAAAATTATTTAAAAAAATTTAAAATATCTTACTATTTAATAATTACATCAAATTTAATTCTTAATTATTTATTTTTCAATTTTTTTTTCAATTTCAACTCTTGCAATTTAATTTAATTTTTATGTTCTTATTCTTTTAATTATAACTTGTTTTTCTTTTATTCTTTTTTAATTAAACTTTTTATTTAAAATAATTAATGAAATTAATATTTTTTTTCAAATTTATCTCATTTTAATTTTTTTTATTTGAACTTCATTTTTTTAATTATTATTTTTTATTTAAAATAATTTATTTAAATTAGTTTTTTTTTTTTCAATTTTACCCTTAATATTGTAAAATAATTTATTTAAATTAGTTTTTTTTTCAATTTTACCCTTAATAGTGTTTTTTAACTTAAAAGAGTTCCAAATGAACTAGGTTTTTCAAAACACACAAGCATTGCTGAGCTGATGTATTTAAAGTTGCATTTGTTACAAATTTACAAATGCAGAATACAAAAAGGTTAAAAATCATGCTGTGGTTCAAACTTCATTGAAATGGAACTGGAACACCTTGCTTCGTGTTCACGATGGCCATTGCTAGATACCGAGTACCCATTCCAATGGGCACCTGTTCATCAGGTCCCTCCCAAAATGGGGCTTCACCTTCACCTACCAGACGCCAGTATCCTGTCCTCAGGGAATCAGCTTGTTCATCTGTGCAGTTCTGCAGCAATGATTCCACTCGGAAGTTTATGCCGAGAGCACCAAGAAATTGGGATTGAGTAATTGGTCCATGGACAGAGATATCTGCTAAAATCGTCATGTAATAAATGAATAAGTTTCCAGTATTTTTCTTTTAGTAATCCTGTTTTTAACTGCACTCAAGTTCTAAAAGAAACAACGTAAATCCAAAATGATGTATAATCATACCTGACACTTCCTCAGCAGAGTGCCTGATGGAAGCAAAATCGACATATGCACTGAGATCAGCTGACCCAGGATCATCGAGTATGTTGATGAACTTGTGTTTCCTAATTGCCTGCACAGATGTAGTTAGGGAAAGAATAGAAGGGTCTAGAGAAATATATTGACTCGAACCAGCACTCAAAGTTTTCAATGCAATGAAAGTAAACCCAATGAATGCAAACCTTCGGTCAACAGTGCAATCTTTATCCCTGAGGAAAGTTTGAAGAAATAAAATAGAACATGAAGGAATGCAACAGTACAGGTCATAAATGCCCAAGTATTCAAACATTGTGTGGACAGATAATTAAAAATGCTTACAATCACATCGATAAACCATGCAGTCCAACAGACATAATGGAAGCACTTGCACCGAAAACAATGGTAAGAGATTTCACCTGCAGACTATCTGAGACGACACCATTTAGGCCATAGTCAATAATCAGGGCCCCTCCTCCATCACAGCTTATTCTGTCAGCAATAGCATGTGTCAAATCCATTGCTTTGGGGCACACCTCAATATGACTAAGCTTCTCTATTTCTTCAGGTGCAGCCCACTCGCAGCGCTTCATCAAATATAGGGTTGCTGGTGATGGCTGTGGGGATAGAACAAAACGAAACCTAATCGATATACATAAGAAATATCAATCTACAGTTATGAGCAAAAGGATTATATCTCTAAGATTAAACTGCAAATTCTTACATTGAATCTTCCGAAACATCAACCATTTTTTCACACCAGCCACGAGAAGCTCTCTGCAGGTGTTGTCAATCAGACTGATTGGTGAGAAGAGAAAAGCAAAGAATATGACGGCCAAAAACCAATGACAAGATAAACCAAGGGAGAGTAATTTGAAATATCTTTCTTGCAGTTATGGGATGAATACAAAGTAAAAGTTTGAATTATGAATTAGAAACTGGCTACACACTTAGAGCAATATAACAACTTACAGTAAAGTTTTCCATTATAGAGAAGATGAGACCAAAATTACAGAGAAGAACATGTTATCAGTTTGCAACCTCCATGTTGAGAAACAAACTGAGATAGCTCAGCTCATTGTACTTTTCTGTTCTTCTCTCATTATATTTCAGTGATATTTATCCTATCCTTTCTATAAAATTATTTTAATATTTCTAATAAGTCAATAAGAAGCTTGAGTAATATCAACTAGTACAAGTGCAAGAATAGGTAGAAAGAGAAGGAATATGGAAACCAAGAAAACAAGATCCAAATAGCTAAAAATTCAAAGATAATGAACACTATTTAGAGTTCAGGAAAAGAAAATGCATTAAGCATTTTGCAGAAAGGATCCTAAATATCAGATTTCTGCAAATAATGGATTACACAAGTACTAATTAACTGTAACCTGCACCATTTTTTTAGGCCAGAGTGACACCAAGAAAATCAATAGGACTAACCTGAAACTGATGCACAGGTAGAGCATCGTAAAACTCATGGGCAATGATAATTGATGGCACTGAAACATCGCAAAGAAACATGGATGATAATCAGAGAAAGAGCAAACTGTCACTTTACAATGTTGGAAAAAGAAAATAAACTGCTATCCCAAAAATGTGAAACAAAAATAAAATTAACTCATTCCATTCAAACAATACAAATCTGATACTTAACATTCCAACTAAAGGAAATTTAAAATATAACTACATACATCCTGATGGAACCTGCTCTAGCAAAGCATGCCATGACACAAGTGTCCCTGCCAACGTGCTGATGGTCCTTTTTTCAACACCATCACCGTTATCATCTTCATCTAAACATTTTAAGTTGTGATGTTGAAGCTTCTGTAACATAGGACTACATTCTATCAAGTGTACATGCAACGATTCTGTGAAGCTTTTAAACTTTGATGCACCCTACAAGGAAAAGGCATGCTTATTAAATAAAAACGCATAACTTAAAAATTTTAAGCACTGTCTTATTTCACTAGTATCATCAGAATTGTGGTGATATACACGCAGAAGATCAGCCATCAGAGTTCCTCGTCCTGGCCCCAGCTCAACTAGGTTCACTTGTTTTGGCCGTCCCATTTGCTCCCAAAGGCACATGGCCCATACACCAACCATCTGATATTACATTAAAAGGGTTAAATTATTTCCTCAGATAGCAATCAACCAAAAAATAACAATTGAGGTCACCAGAATTGAATATCAAACAACAACAAATGCTCTTTCAGTACAATGACTCCCTAACTGCCTCAATGACCTTAGAAATGACGTACAGGTTTCACAAGTTCCATGTAACTCAATCACACAAGTATTCCAAAGTTCAACAGAAACTCATTTACCTCACCAAACATCTGGCTTACTTCAGGAGATGTAATGAAATCACCTTCTGCTCCAAACACATCTCGACTAATGTAGAATCCAAACTTGGGATTCGTCAGAACTTCTTCCATATACTCTGCCACTGAGATTGGGCCACCTCGGAACTGGAAAACCATCCACAACTTCCAATAAATTTTTCAATAACAACAGCACAAAACAATACCTTTCATTGATGACATAATGAAAATTTTAGCATCCATTTCTGGAAAGAGTTTCAAAATCACATGTATCTTTGTTCCAAGCTACAGCATTTCCTCATAACCATACTAGGGTGAAAGCGAACGTCTTTCATCAATCCATCAACAAAAATCTATTTAATTTGCAAGGAAAAAATGGATGAAAAACAAACAGAGGCATTTTAACGAACATAGTATCTGCATTTTAAAAAGCAATAAAAATAAATTAATGGGCACCTTGATAATGCCTTTAAGGTGCTTGACAAGCTCAGACTCTGATGTGGGTTCATGAGAATGATCTACAATAGAGTACAATAATAACCAAACAAATCCGAAGAAACACCACAAAAAAAAAAAGAATACGAGTATGAGAAGAGAAGTTGGACCAGGTAGATTATATAGGTCGGAACGGTCAATGGAGATGGAGGTCCTAGTGGGATATTGATCGGTAACCTTGTCGTCGACGAAAGTAGTGGTGGGGCTTTGTGATTCTGAAGAAGAAGAAGAAGAAGAGAAAAGAAGAGATTTAGTTAACAAAGGAGAAGAAGTTTTAGAATTCAAGAGGAAATGACGGCAGGTTGAAGCTTGCTTTAGTAAGTGTCTGGTAAGCATTTTTGATATAGTTTTTATTTACTTCGCTTTGCTCGCTAGGGATTTCAGGTTTTCTTTCTCTTTATTCCATTGATAACGAACAAGCATAGCATAACCAATTTAAAATTTATTAATAGTATTTGTATAGCTTAGACGGCATGTGGTACTTCGCTTTGCTCGCTAGGGATTTCAGGGTTTCTTTCTCTTTATTCCATTGATGAACGAACAAGCATAGCATAACCTGAGCGCGTTGGAGTGTTCCAATTTAATATTTATTAATAGTATCTGTATAGCTTGGACGATATGTGGTGGGGATGTAGCTCAGATGGTAGAGCGCTCGCTTAGCATGCGAGAGGTACGGGGATCGATACCCCGCATCTCCATTTCTTGTGCTTTTTCAAAACAAATTCTCCTCCAGATATTTATTTATATATCTTTATTGCTCCCAAAAAATGTTTTCATTATAATTTTATCAATCAAAGATATTTCATAAGGTTTCATAATTTTAAAAGCTATATACTTAATTCACATTTTATAAAATTTATTTATAATTTTAAAAACTATATATTTTATACAAAATAATATGATAAAACATTATTCTAGATATAATGTCCATTATACATAACCTTTTAAAATTAATTAGAGTTAGTTTTTGACATATATATATATTAATGTTGCTTGAATTTATATTTATGATCAATGATCCTTTTTTATTTTATTTATTTATTTTATATTTTATTAATCCTTAATTTTTGTTGTTTATCATCTCACTCCTAATATTTTTTTATTTTCAAAAAATATGTTGAAAAAAACAAGGGGTCAAAAATAAATTATAACATATATTATAAGCTAGTAGTTAGACTAAGATTAGAAGTTAGGTTAAAATATTAAAATGAAATTTAATAAATAATTGGTTGGTTATAATATTTTTTAAAGTATTTTTTATTTAGAAATATATTGAAATAATATTTTTAATATCAGCACATCAAAATAATTTAAAAATATTAAAAAATATTAATTTAAAACAAAGAATAAAATAAAAATATTTAAATTTTCTTAAAAATATTTTTAAAATACAAAAACAAGCAAATAAAGTACAAACTACGAATCATTAAAATATTTTTAAAACACAAAACAAACAAATAAAGTACAAACTACGAATCCATGTGACCTTTAAAATAATATCCAAAAGACAATAACTTTTTTAGGATAATGTTTCAATCATCCGGCTCAAAAGCCAGCAAAACAAATAGTGTTTCATGTTTCATCTCTTGGATCATTTTAAGGAGTTGTTTGTCATTATGTATATGTTTTAAAAATGTATTTGATATTTTATTTTAGTATTTTTTTAATAATTTTGATATGTTAATATTAAAAAATTAAAACAAATTATTTAAATATATTTTTAAATAAAAATTATTTTATTTCATGATTATCAACCATTTCATATACAAATTATAATATTCAGAATCATAATATAAAACTAGAGGGGAGGGAAACATGCGATTTCTAATATCACTTCTCTCAAATTGGCACATTCACCAAGGTTTTCATTCCAAACAAGCAGTAAATCAAATAAAAAAATCATAATAATTAATTGAATTAAAGTTGCACAAACCATACTAATCTCTGCTAAAACCCTTTTGTGGTGGTCTCAAATCCTTCAAATAGTGACCCACACTCAAAGAAACACACGCACTCTCCAAGTCCTGTAAATGCAGAGTATATCTTATTCTCGGCAATTGGCATAAATATGCATGAATATTAGCCATGCTAATGCACCAACAGAGATTCTGCCAGAATTGATCTCCAGGCTTTAGACTTCTTCTAATGTCTTGATATCAGGATCGATATCCCTGCCAGCAGGAGCAGGAAACTGGAGAACTTTGATGCACTTAACACTGCAGAAAGCCTTGGAACCACGTTGGGCATCATAAATGAAGTGGGCATAGAAGAGAAGTGCACTGCTCACAATCGCAATGCCATACATGAGGAGAACCATAGTCGGGCCCATAAATGTTGAAAACTGATATGCAAAGCCAAACATTATAGCTGATGTTAAGCTCCATATAGTAACTTTCAACAGCTCTTTCTTTGGTGATTCTTCGTCGGAAGGCAGTCGATTAAGCACGGTTAAGCAGTGGTCAACGATAAAGTAACTGAAGTAGGCAAAAACTATAAATACTACCATTGGGATGTCATTGTTCATGTATGCACGGCATATCGTGCGTATGCTATTGAATGTGAGGTAAAAGTATGCAATAGACTGTGTAAATCTCAGGCTTTCACTGCATATGTTGCAGCTGTTTCTAGCAAGTGAAGTTGGGTTTTCGCCATGGAAATGATTTGGCAACATTTTCGAAAATTTGATGAATTTCTGGTCGGGGTGGCAACAAAGATTAGCTGGCAAAGAAGCTGGGTATCTGGGTGGCAGATTCATGTTATAACTTGCTCTTATATAAATGGATGTTTTGATATCATTCCAAGAAACTTCATAGAATTACCATGGAAGATGTTTCTAAAAAGTCGATCCATCGAATAATAAAAAGTGAGAAGCCGCGGAATGTATATTTCCAAATCTCTTCATGGCAGCAGCAAAGAAAGGAGCGCTTGAAACCGAAGATGAACTTGCTCTGAATCTTCCTGGTGGTTTACTTACGCTTGTTTTCTGGGTACTTGTCGGGGTCATCACATCAAAAAATAAAATAAATGAAGTCCAACCATGACCGCTGGAGTGTCAGTTGCTTCGTGTACCTTTCGCTCTTTGGGCTTTAATGGAGTTTAAAGCAGGCCGGGCTTCAAACAAGAGAAGGGACGATTTTAGAGATATCAATAACTATACATAAAATCACAAATTCCTTCCAAACTTTTGAAATTTTGATCCAATATTGTACTCGAACAACATAATACTAAGTAGATTCAAATCCAACTATGATTAAAAAAAAATATTAATAAAATTATTTAAAATAAACTTATTGATTTCTTAGAATGAAACTAAAGTATAGATTAATCCATTTTTTTATTGTTTTCTGATTTATACACCATATAAAACACTGAATAATATAAAATAAGTTATATAAATCATTCATGAATTATATATCACAATAATGATATTTTATTTTGAATATCAAAAAGTGTAAGAAAATTTAAGAACAACTCAATAAGAAACATGAAGTATTAAAATCTGAAAATAATCCGATTAAATTGAAATTTATACAATTATTAAATTGAATCATTTTTAATTTTTATAGATAATTCTTCGTTATTATCTTGTGTTCTTTTTTACTCTTTTGGACAAAAACATGATATTATTAAAAGAAGAAGAAGCAAGATTTCTTATATATATAATTTGTATAATTTATATTTATACATGTATTGTTAATTTATATTTGTCGCATATAATTGAAAGATTATTTAAAATAATAAAAGCCTCATAATAATATAATTTGAGACTTATTATTTTAGTAATTACTAGTTTTAAGATTACATATATTTTCCCCATTATTTAATTTTAATTACTTTAATCCTAAAAATCTAAAAAGGCTTCAAAACAAGGCAATAAAAAATCAAATATTAAAAATCTGGAAGTAATTACATTATATTATTGTGAATATAAATTTTTATAAATATTATAAGTAATTACATTATATTATTATCTTAGGTTATTTTTAAAACCTTTGGACAGAAACAATGATTTATAAAAAATTTATTAATTTATATTCACAATAATTACCGTAATGAGCTGTTTAAATTAATAATGGTTTATAATAATTCTAATATAAAGCTTATTATTAAGGGTAAAAATAATTTTTCAGATTGGATATTATCAAATTGATTAGAAACAAATTAATTAATATTTTTTTACCTAATAAAATTACTCTGTTACCTTTAAAAATAAAAAATTATAGCTTTTATTTAAAAGTTTTTTTTTCTTTTTAATATTCCTTGCAAGTAAAATTATATTAATACCTTTAAAAGTAATAAATTATATTAATACCTTCAAAAGTAATAAATTATTAAACTTGGAAAGAGGAACATTTTTGTAATATATCTTAGGCTGGTGTCTAAGGTGTTTTCCTCTTCTTTTTTTATGAATTATTTTGTAAAATTCTAATTTTATTAGGTGATTGTTTGGTTATTTAATAAATATAAATATTATTAAATAAAATTGTATGATGCGTGTGTTGCCTTTGCAACGTGTGGGTAACACATGCAAGTTCATTCAATTATCAAATATTATTTTTTATTTTAAATTTGGTATCTTTTGTAATTTAGTAATGCATGTGGCCGATAGATTTTCAGTTTAATGTTAATGACATTTTCTTTTCTTTTTTCTCTTTGATATTTATTATTAAGCCTTCAAAATTTTAATGCAGCCTTTTAATTATTATTTTTATATTTGATTTATATTTTTTTTTATATATAAAATAAATAATAATAAATTATCAAATATTATTTTTTATTTCAAATTTGATGCCTTTTGTAATTTAATGATGTATGTGGCCAATAGATTTTCAGTTTAATGTTAGTGACATTTTCTTTTCTTCTTTCTCTTTGATATTTATTCTTAAGCCTTCAAAATTTTAATGCAGCCTTTTAATTAATTTTTTATATTTGATTTATATTTTTTTATCACTATTTATTTTATATAAAATAATTTAATATTACTATTTATTTTATATGAAATAATTTAATAAATTATTTTTTTAATTTTATCTTTCTTTAATTTCTTAATTTTTAATTTTATATGAAATATTTTTTTTTAATTTTTTATCCTCTATTATTTGATAATTAAACTTAATAATTTAATTTAATTTATTTAAAATGAGATTATTTTAGTGTGACAATCAAGTTATAAATTGACATGCAAACTCGAATAAAATTGAGTTGAGTTTATTTTACCTTTTTTTGTTCTCATTTTATTTACTATCATTATATATTTTTTTATTCATACTCTTAAATTTGTCAAGCTTATTAAATCTAATTAACTAGAATCTTATAATTTTTTTGGGTTTTTATAGAACATTTACATCATTTTAACTCTTGACATAAGATAAGCTATTTATCTAATTTAATAAATAAGAAAAAGATAGTGTTGAT